TCTGTCAACTACACGAGGGTGATACAGACTGCATGTCACCTGTTCACCACCAATCAAGAACACTTTAATCTCTAACACAGTGAAGTAATCTCTCAGTATACGAACACTGAGAAACACATCTCTCGGTGTACGTATCCTAATGCAACTTAATGCGAATTTCAAACTACTAATATATATATATATATCAAAATCCAAAATATCTAAAAATTATGTGATATACATATATACTGTATATTTTTAAATGAAATATATAAAAAAAAATTAAGAACAATTAATGTAGACTCTTTTTCGCGGCCTACGCCAAAATGAAAAAAAAAATTAATGAGGGGATATAATTAAAAATGCATGTAAATTGCTCTTTGACCCGAAAAATAGGATCAAAGCCCTCTGTGGGTGAAAACAATATAATAAAGCCTCAATGTGGGTGGAACGCTTTAAATAAAGCCCCATTGTGGGTACATCTTACAATAAAGCCCTACTGTGGGTGGAAAGTCTTACAATAAAGCCCTACTGAGGGGTCGAACATCTTACAGTAAAGCCCCACTGTGGGTACGAACATCTTACAGTAAAGCCCCACTGTGGGTGGAACATCTTATAATAAAGCCCCACTGTGGGTGGATCGTCCAGAAATAAAGTTTTACCATTCTAAAAAGTGTGAAGTGAGTTATTACCTGCATGAACGCCGCTGGCTCCGGCTCCTTGATGGCTTCGATACAGAACTGGACGAGCGCTGTGGTCTGGTGCAGGCGACGCGTGCACCCCGCTGCCTGGTCTCTGTTAACACGGGAGAGAAGCCTCATCAGTGTTCATACACAAGAACCTGGAGTCTTTCAGGGGTGTATCTGGATTCTATCTGGGATGGGCCTGGATTCTACATATGAAGTGCTGCTAAAATCTGTCTGCAGTATACGTGAATTCTATTGGGAGTGGAATAAATTCTTATTTGGCCGTACATAGTTTCTCAGTTCAGAGGTTCGTTTTGGGATCACTTCCAATCTATTATTAAGTGTACCTTAATTGTGCCTGGAGCCTGTCTCAAGCCTTCACGATACTTACTGACGTTAAGCTGAACCCAGCAGCAATTGCTCCTGAACTAAACTGGAAGACGACTTAAAGTCAAGCTAGAGTCTGCCTAAGTTTACCCTCGAGTCTTGTAGTTACTCCGGACGGCACCTGAGATGCTGCCTAAGATGGCGAAAGACGCAAAAGTTGTACACACACAAACACACACACACACGCACACACACACACACACGCACACACACACACACACACACACACACACACACACACACACACACACACACACACACACAAATCTGAGAATAGCGTTCCGATACCTTAGTAAGGAATCGTTCAAGACACTGTACACCGTGTACGTCAGGCCCATATTGGAGTATGCAGCACCTGTTTGGACCCCACACTTGATCAAGCACGTCAAGAAATTAGATAAAGTGCAAAGGTTTGCGACAAGGTTAGTTCCAGAGCTAGGGGTAATGTCCTACGAAGAAAGGTTAAAGGAAATCGGCCTGACGACACTGGAGGACAGGAGGGTTAGGGAGACATGATAGCAACATACAAAATACTGTGTGGAATAGACAAGGTGGACAGAGACAAGATGTTCCAGAGAGGGGACACAGAAACAAGGGGTCACAATTGGAAGTTGAAGACCCAGATGTTAGGAAGTATTTCTTCAGTCATAGAGTAGTCAGGAAGTGGAATAGCCTAGCAAGTGAGGTAGTGGAGGCAGGAACCATACATAGCATTAAGATCAGGTATGATAAAGCTCATGGAGCAGGGAGAAAGAGGACCTAGTAGCACTCAGTGAAGAGGCGGGGCCAGGAGCTGAGTCTCGACCCCTGCAACCACAATTAGGTGAGTACACACACATACACAACACACACACACACACACACGTAACTACACACACACACACGCACGCGCACACACGCACACAGTGAAGAGGCGGGGCCAGGAGCTATGAATCGACCCCTGCAACCACAAAGTGAGAAATAGGCGAGTACACACACATATATTAATGATTGGGCGATTGTAGTCGATCCACTACTTGGTCGTTTTATGTTTGGACTCGGGATAACAGAGACGGGAGTGCCACCCACCTGGAGACTTGCTCCTCAGATTTGATCTGTGTGTGTGTCTCTCTATATGTAACTCTCTCACCTGTAGATTTTGGTAGTAGCTTCCCTCTCGGCCGCTAGCTGAGCCAGCAATCTGGTTCGAGCTTCTCTCACTGCCTCCATCAATTCAGCACACTGCTTCTCCACCTCCGTGGCTAGCGAGTCACAGTGAGCCTGCAAGTTACACAATAATAACCATATTGCAACGGTATCCGGACAAGTCCTCAACCTGCAGACACTCCGAGGTACACACGGGTCACTTTGGAATCTGTAAATCTTTTACAACTGCTGAGTCGCGGTACCAACAACTGCAAAACATTACTCTTTTCTGTACGGTGGTACTCTATACAAGAACCTTGAAAGACCTGCCTAGTATAGGGGCCAGTAGGACTGCTGCAGTGCTCCTCCTTTCTTATGTTATCAAAAAAAAAAAAAACGTATTTAAGAGTTGAAATCCAGGAAAGCAACTCATTTGTAAGCTTGAAAATTGGAAAAAAAAACTAGTTTTTTAAGTTGACAGCCGTGATAAAACTGGTTTTTAAGTTGACAGCCGTGATAAAACTGGTTTTTAAGTTGACAGCAAGTCGACTGCAAGTGGTAAGTAAACTGGAAAACTAGTAAAAAAAATAGTTTGTCAGCTGAAAAGCTGGAAATTAAGTCGTTTTAAGTAGAAACCTGGAAAACAACTGGTTTATAAGTTAAACAAAACAGGAAAACAGATAGTGAGTTGAAAACCAGGAGAGCAGCTGCCTTATAAGTTAAAATCCAGGAAAGTAGCTGCCTTATAAGTTAAAAACCAGGAAAGTAGCTGCCTTGTAAGTTAAAAACCAGGAAAGTAGCTGCCTTATAAGTTAAAAACCAAGAAAGTAGCTGCCTTATAAGTTAAAAACCAAGAAAGTAGCTGCCTTATAAGTTAAAAACCAAGAAAGTAGCTGGCTGTTAAGATGGCAACTTCCTGTACAGTGCTGTGTGATGCAGCATAGTACAGCCAGGTGATGGTGAACGAGTCCAGGGCAATGGTGTATAATGGCGCATGATGAAGTGAGGTATTAAGTATGACGACAATGTATAATGAAATAGGGAAGGATATCATAAAAGATAACTGAGGAAGCGCGCATAGCAGATAAATATGATAACAGGATAGCAGAGAAAGCAAGTATAGCAGGTAGTATCATAACAAGACAGCAGAGAAAGCGAGTATAGCATATAGTATGATAACAAGATAGAGAAAGCAAGTAAAGCAGATAGCATGTTAACAAGATAGCAGCGAAAGAATGACAGAAATTAATAAATAACAATCGATATAACATTCTGGATAAGAGATAACTGGCATCAATGTTTACAGAGTTATAACTAACAAATCTAACAGCAAAATATACAAAAACAGAAATTAATATAGAAATGGATATACATAGATTAAAAATTCACAGACAAAATGAATGAGAGAAACGAATATAGAAATTTGTATATTCACGTAAACATTTGTATATTACATAAACATTTGCATATTCATATAAACATTTCTTTGTCATATAAACATTAGTATATTCATATAAACATATGTATTCTAATATAAACATTAGTGTATTCATATAAACATTTGTGTGCTAATGTACCCATTAGTATATTAATCCATATAAACATTTGGATGCTAATATAAACATTAGTATGATATGTAAACACTTGTAGGCTCATGTAAATGTTAGTATATTTATATAAACATTTGTATGCTCAATACATATCATTCACATATTCATATAAACATTTGTATCATTATCTAAACATTTACATATTCATATAAACATTTGTATGCTCATGTAAACATTTGTATATTAATTTATATAAACATTTGTATGCTCATATAAATATTTAAACGGGTTTGTCACTGGACAAGAAAATAACTGAAAAAAAAAAAAACGAGAAATAGTTGAAAAGAGGATTTTTTTTTGTGTGAAAAGGAAACTAAAGCTGAATTAAAGAAAAATGAAAACAGTTAAGCTTACTCAAAATATAGAAACAAATTAAGCTTATCCAAAAAATACAAACAATTATGCTTACCCAAAAAATACAAACACTTAAGCTTACCCAAAAAATTACAAACAATTAAGCTTACTCAAAAAAAACTTTTAAGCTTACCCAAAAAAATACAAACACTTAAGCTTACCCAAAAAATTACAAACAATTAAGCTTACTCAAAAAAAAATATTTAAGCTTACCCAAAAAAATACAAACAATTAAGCTTACTCCCAAAAATACAAACAATTAAGCTAACCCAAAAAAATACAAACCATTAAGCTTACCCCAAAAAATACAAACAATTAAGCTTACCCCCCCAAAAAAAACAATTAAGCTACCCCCCCCCCCAAAATGAATTGTGTGTTATACCAAATGAAAAATTTCGAGTTGCAGTTAGGAAAGATAATGAAGAGAATTTGTTACCGAACGTTGATTAGATTATGTAAGCAGGTTCTGGTGGGATATTTATTACTCTCAAGCTTTAAAAATGTGAAGACAGTTGACCCTTAATACACACTATCAGTTTTTTTCCCCCACGTTTAAATTTCCATAATTAGAAGGCAAAGCGGTAGAGAAAGGAAAAAATGAGAAAATATTTTGCCAGTGTTGAGAGAGAAGAATGGTGAAAAAATCTTCTTCACTACTGGTGTCTTGACAAATAACAATATACAGGATTTAGATAAGTCAAGAACGTGAAGTATAAATTGCTTTATTTAGTTTAATGTTGATAAATAATACAAATGATAAGGCTAATTACCTCCTTGTAATATAAATGAATCTTGTAATCTTGTGTATTATATATTTTATATATATATATATATATATATATATATATATATATAATATATATATATATATATATATATATATAAAATAAAGGGTTCGAGTCCTTGGCTAGTGTAATGTTGTTATTGATATTTTTTTTTTTTTCGACAAACCGGCCGCATCCCACCGAGGCAGGGTGACCCAAAAAGAACAACGAAAGTTTCTCTTTTTAAATTTAGTAATTTATACAGGAGAAGAGATTACTAGCCTCTTGCTCCCGGCATTTTAGTCGCCTCTTACAACACGCATGGATTACGGAGGAAGAATTCTGTTCCACTTCCCCATGGAGATAAGAACTAGAAAGAAAATAGAAGAAAACCCAGAGGGGTGCGTGTATATATATGCTTGTACATGTATGTGTAGTGTGACCTAAGTGTAAGTAGAAATAGCAAGACGTACCTGAAATCTTGCATGTTTATGAGACAGAAAAAAGACACCGGAAATATTACCATCATGTAAAACAATTACAGGCTTTCGTTTTACACTCACTTGGCAGGACGGTAGCACCTCCCTGGGTGGTTACTGTCTACCAACCTACTACCTAGAGTTATTGATATATATATATATATATTATTTTATATATATATATATATATATATAATATATATATATATATATATATATATATTTATATATATATATATATATGTCGTGCCGAATATGTAAAACTGGCCAATTAGCAAGAACTCATTTAAAATTAAGTCCTTTAAAAAAATTTCTCTTATACGTTTAAAGATATATTTTTTTCATTAATGTTAATGTATTATTATTATTATAATCAAAAAGAAGCGCTAAGCCACAAGGGCTATACAGCGCTGCAATGTTAATTTAAACACTTTTAATTTTGCACCAAAAGAATCTTAGAAAACTTACCTAACCTTATTATAACAAGCGCAATTTATTTTAGCCTAATCATACTAAATATATTTTAAATACGTTTACAGTAATTTAATTACAAAACAAACACAATGAAATATATTTTTTTTCGTTAGGTTAAGAATGATTTTTGCGAAATTATTGCATTCACAAATTTTCGCTTGTCCTATATGGCAAGATGAGCGTTGCTACTTAAGCCAAGATCGCAAGTTCTGCCTATTCGGCACGACATATATAGTAGGTAGTAGGTTGGTAGACAGCAACAACCCAGGGAAGTACTACCGTCCTGCCAGATGACTGTGAAACAGAAACCTGTAACTGTTTTGCATGATGGTAAGATTGCTGGTTTCTTTTTCTGTCTCATAAACACGCTAGATAACAGGGATATCTTGCTACTCCTACTTACACTTTGGTCACACTTCACAGACACGCACATGCATATATATATATACATACATCTAGGTTTTTCTCCTTTTTCTAAATAGCTCTTGTTCTTCTTTATTTCTTCTATTGTCCATGGGGAGTGGAAAAGAATCTTTCCTCCGTAAGCCATGCGTGTCGTATGAGGCGACTAAAATGCCGGGAGCAATGGGCTAGTAACCCCTTCTCCTGTAGACATTTACTAAAAAAAGAAGAAAAGAAAAACATTATAAAACTGGGATGCTTGAATGTGCGTGGATGTAGTGCGGATGACAAGAAACAGATGATTGCTGATGTTATGAATGAAAAGAAGTTGGATGTCCTGGCCCTAAGTGAAACAAAGCTGAAGGGGGTAGGGGAGTTTCAGTGGGGGGAAATAAATGGGATTAAATCTGGAGTATCTGAGAGAGTTAGAGCAAAGGAAGGGGTAGCAGTAATGTTGAAGGATCAGTTGTGGAAGGAGAAAAGAGAATATGAATGTGTTAATTCAAGAATTATGTGGATTAAAGTAAAGGTTGGATGCGAAAAGTGGGTCATAATAAGCGTGTATGCACCTGGAGAAGAGAGGAATGCAGAGGTAAGAGAGAGAGATTTTGGGAGATGTTAAGTGAATGTATAGAAGCCTTTGAACCAAGTGAGAGAGTAATTGTGATAGGGGACCTGAATGCTAAAGTAGGAGAAACTTTTAGAGAGGGTGTGGTAGGTAAGTTTGGGGTTGCCAGGTGTAAATGATAATGGGAGCCCTTTGATTGAATTTCGTATAGAAAGGGGTTTATTTATAGGAAATACTTTTTTAAAGAAAAAGAGGAAAAAACAAGTATACAAGATTGAGTGGGGGAAAATGACAGTAGTTTGTTGGATTAGTATTGGTAGATAAAAACTGTTGGTGACTTAGGATGTAAAAGTTTATGAGGGGCCCCGATATTCAGTCACTTTCTAGTTGTAGCTACACGAGAGAAAAAGGTAGATGGGTAAGGAAAACAAAAGCTCAGGAAGGAGGGGTAAAGGGGTTTTTTAAACTAAAGAGGAGGCAGTTGGGGTAAGATATAAACAGCTTTTGGGAGGATAGTTGGGCTAATGAGAGCTGGGCAATGGGGGTCAAAGAGGTATGGGGTGGGTTTTAAAAAATTTTAGTTTTGGTGTTCAGCAGAAGTTTGTGGTTACGGGGGAAAGTGGGTGTGGGGGGGAAGAGGAGCGATTGGGGGAAATGAGGGTTTTAAAGAGGTAGAAAGGGGAAAATTTAGCATATGAAAAATTTTTAAAAAGTGAAGTGATGAAAGGAAGGAAGAGTATAGGGAGAAAAAGGAGAGGTTAACAGAGTGGTGAAGCAATTAAAAAGAGACAAATGAGAGAGTGGGGGAGTGTTATAAAAAATTTTGTTGAAAATAAGAAAAATTTTTTTAGTGGAAAATTTAAAAATTAGGAACCCAGAGAACCCAAAAAGGGTTTGCTTTTTAAAATAGGAGGGGAGTTATTAAATGGAGATTTAGAGGTTTGGAAGATGGAGGAAAATATTTTGAGATTTGTTAAAATGTTGATGAAGATAGGGAAGCTGTTGATATCGTGTATAGGGCAAGGAGAAATAACATCTTGTAGGAGTGAGGAAGAGCCAGTTGTGAGTGTGGGGGAAGTTTCGTGAGGCAGTAGGTAAAATGAAAGGGGTAAGGCAGCCGGGATTGATGGGATAAAGATAGAAATGTTAAAAGCAGGTGGGGATATAGTTTTGGAGTGATTGGTGCAATTATTTTAATAAATGTATGGAAGAGGGTAAGGTACCTAGGGATTGGCAGAGAGCATGCATAGTTCCTTTGTATAAAGGCAAAGGGGACAAAAGAGAGTGCAAAAATTATAGGGGGATAAGTCTGTTGAGTATACCTGGTAAAGTGTATGGTAGAGTTATTATTGAAAGAATTAAGAGTAAGACGGAGAATAGGATAGCAGATGAACAAGGAGGGCTTTAGGAAAGGTAGGGGGTGTGTGGACCAGTGTTTACAGTGAAACATATAAGTGAACAGTATTTAGATAAGGCTAAAGAGGTCTTTGTGGCGTTTATGGATTTGGAAAAGGCGTATGACAGGGTGGATAGGGGGCAATGTGGCAGATGTTGCAGGTGTATGGTGTAGGAGGTAGGTTACTGAAAGCAGTGAAGGTTTTTATGAGGATAGTGAGGCTCAAGTTAGAGTATGTAGGAAGGAGGGAAATTATTTCCCAGTAAAAGTAGGCCTTAGACAAGGATGTGTGATGTCACCGTGGTTGTTTAATATATTTATAGATGGGGTTGTAAGAGAAGTAAATGCGAGGGTCTTGGCAAGAGGCGTGGAGTTAAAAGATAAAGAATCACACATAAAGTGGGAGTTGTCACAGTTGCTCTTTGCTGATGACACTGTGCTCTTGGGAGATTCTGAAGAGAAGTTGCAGAGATTGGTGGATGAATTTGGTAGGGTGTGCAAATGAAGAAAATTAAAAGTGAATACAGGAAAGACCAAGGTTATGAGGATAACAAAAAGATTAGGTGATGAAGATTGGATATCAGATTGGAGGGAGAGAGTATGGAGGAGGTGAATGTATTCAGATATTTGGGAGTGGACGTGTCAGCAGATGAGTCTATGAAAGATGAGGTGAATCATAATAGAATTGATGAGGGGAAAAGGGTGAGTGGTGCACTTAGGAGTCTGTGGAGACAAAGAACTTTGTCCTTGGAGGCAAAGAGGGGAATGTATGAGAGTATAGTTTTACCAACGCTCTTATATGGGTGTGAAGCATGGGTGATGAATGTTGCAGCGAGGAGAAGGCTGGAGGCAGTGGAGATGTCATGTCTGAGGGCAATGTGTGGTGTGAATATAATGCAGAGAATTCGTAGTTTGGAAGTTAGGAGGAGGTGCGGGATTACCAAAACTGTTGTCCAGAGGGCTGAGGAAGGGTTGTTGAGGTGGTTCGGACATGTAGAGAGAATGGAGCAAAACAAGAGTTAACTTCAAGAGTGTATCAGTCTGTAGTGGAAGGAGGCGGGGTAGGGGTCGGCCTAGAAAGGTTGGAGGGAGGGGGTAAAGGAGGTTTTGTGTGCGAGGGGCTTGGACTTCCAGCAGGCATGCGTGAGCGTGTTTGATAGGAGCGAATGAAGACAAATGGTTTTTAATACTTGACGTGCTGTTGGAGTGTGAGCAAAGTAACATTTATGAAGGGGTTCAGGGAAACCGGCAGGCCGGACTTGAGTCCTGGAGATGGAAGTACAGTGCCTGCACTCTGAAGGAGAGGTGTTAATGTTGCAGTTTAAAAACTGTAGTGTAAAGCACCCTTCTGGCAAGACAGTGATGGAGTGAATGATGGTGAAAGTTTTTCTTTTTCGGGCCACCCTGCCTTGGTTGGGAATCGGCCAGTGTGCTAATAAAAAAATAAATTATATATATATATATATATATATATATATATATATAATATATATATATATATATATAATATATATATATATATAATTAGTATGAAGCTCAAGGAGAAATCTCAGTATTTTTCCATGAAGCCGCCTTTATCCGTTTCTCCGAGGCTATAGGTCCCCACACCTACACATACAAGAGGACCACATCATGAAGTGTTATCCGTAGAAACGTCTACTCACGTTGATTCTGTCTTGGAAGGTCTTGAGGTTGGTGATATGTGTGTGGGCTGACTTGGCTCGTCCTGACAATTGTTGTAGCGACTCCGATAACTCCGCCTGTGGGAGGATAACACAAGACTACGTCAGTGTGGCTCACCGTTCTTACAACACCATAATAATGATATTGATAATAATAATTATTGTAATGATAATGATAATTATGATGTCGGTGATATTATATCCTCTTTTATTTTTTCTATTGTAATTTTCTGTCATATAACTGACTGAAATACCATGTGTTAATTTTACTGCATTATGATATTATATATTATATATTATACTTGCATTCTGACATATATATATTATGCGATCCAGAGAGGAATGCCGCACATTCTGGGCACGGGACCCACGCAGGAGCTGACGAAGTTCGAGATGTAGCTCAACCGTTCTTTACTAACACCATAATAAATGTTTTGTAATGTATTTTTTTTAATGAAAATATATATAAAATATGGGTGGTGATTAAAATTCTCAACCTTTAATTTTTTTCTATGTAAATTTTCTTCTTATATCTGAGATGAGGATCCCAGTTTTAAGTTTACTCCTTTATATTTATATAAAAAAAAAAAAAAATATATATATATATATATATATATATATATATATATATATATATATATATATACTGCGGCTAGTCAAGGAGTCGAGCCCATTCTGCTTTGGCCTGCCTCATGGTGGGCGAAAACTCATGACGCCCACCATGAGGCAGGCCAAAGCAGCACGGGTTCGATCCTTGACTAGTCACAGTATGTATTATATATATATATATATATATATATATATAATATATATATATTATATATATATATATATATATATATATATATATATATATATATTATGCAAATATCGCAAACCCAGCAATACCGGATGCGAGGGAGTAGAATGATAACTCTAGGCCTTCCGTGCTGCAATCAATACATCAGGAGCTTGCAAAATTGCAGAAAAGAGGAGGATGTCCAAGCAAGTAGGTTCCCCAAGGACCGTCTTCACTAGAGTGAGGAAGGGAGAGAGTAGGGTACAGGAAGTTCCCCCAGGCACAACAGTGCCCACGAGTTGGTAGGTAAGACACACAGGCAACAGTTAGGCAACATACTGTTGCCCGTTCCTCGAATTCAAACTGACTACCTCCCATTACCAAGGTGCTGTACCACCCATCCCGGTTTATCTCTTCCCTATGAATATAACAACAACAACAACAATAATAATAATAATAATAATAATAATAATAATAATAATAATGGTGTCGGAATTATTACCACCGAGGTTCCTCTCTATTGCGAACTCCACGCCCGTTTCAAAATTAATTTTAGGGTATACTTTTTTGTGTGTAAATTTTTGAAGATAATATCTTGTATCCGAGACTTAACTGTACAAAAGCACTGACGAGATGAAATTTCTGCTGTGTGTACTATTGTTCACAAGCTCTGAGAAGCTTCATGATACTGCGTAGATTATTATTTTTTATTTATTCACGGGGTTAAGGGAAGAGAGAAGAGAAAGGCTGCCTTTACGTATGCAAATGAAGCGTGCAGTCCATCACCGGGCGAAGATTTATGGCGTTTCCTGCATCACTGTGTGTTGCATTATATCTCAGAGCAGTTTGCGTTTTAATGCATTCATGTTATTTTTTTGGGTTCAGTTAGTGAAATTATGCAAATTTCAAAGAGCATTGTCTGATTATAGTTCACTCTTACAGTGTTTAGTTGTTGGAGTGCAAGAAACACTTGTTAGTGTTGAGAGAAAACACCCACACATACATGGTGAGTAAACACACAGACTACTGAATGTTTCGATCTCCAACAGAAGTCCTCTTCAGCAGACCTGTTATAGTTCTCGTATTTGTCTGTCATGTATTCTCTCTTTAAGTCAGACACCTAAACAGTGCACCATGGACCCTTAGTCTAGATAGAAGCAGATAGCTCTTGTCAGCAGATAGCCTCGGTGTAGTTATCCATGTCCTCTTGTATTAGTCTTTCTCATGCATCCCATCTACAACCATGTCCTCCCATATACAAACATGTCCTCACATATACAACTATATCCTCCCATGTATAACCATATCCTCCCTGGTACAATCGTGTCCTCCCATGTACAACTATGTTCTCCCATGTATAACCATGTCTTCCCATGTATAACCATGTCCTCCATGTATTTGTCTTACATTGTCTATCACGCAACTGCCATTTGTAAACCCCATGTCTGCCACTTATAAACCACGTGTCCGCCACTTATAAACCACGTATCTGCCGCTTGTAAACCCCGTGTTTGCCACACTCCTTACTGTTGATCTGCCACCGTTCTGTGTGTTTGTGTGTTTTGTTCTTCTTAAGTTGTTTCAATAGATCTCGTCTCACTTAGAAGCGAGGTGCTGGAGTCAGTTGACTTACAGGTATTTCAGTCGCTTATCAAAAATTCTCTTGCGTTTGGGGACACAGAGCTTGCATGTAACTAACACGAAACAGACGACGATCGTTCATGAGCGCTGAATACGGCTCACGAAGGATCCCATAAGCTAAAGACGATGACCTCATTCGGATTAGTAACCCCGTAGGGAGTAGGTTGGTAATAACCCCAAGATAGCCCATGAAAGCCATGCAGTGTGTGTGTGTGTGTGTGTATGTGTGTGTGTGTGTGTGTGTGTGTGTGTGTGTGTGTGTGTGTGTGTGTGTGTGTGTGTGTGTGTGTGTGTGTGTGTATTACCTATGTGTACTTACCTAATTGTGGTGGCAGGGGTCGAGACTCAGCGCCTGGCCCCGCCTCTTCACTGAGTGCAACTAGGTCCTCTCTCTCCCTGCTCCATGAACTTTATCATACCTCATCTTAAAGCTATGTATGCGTGTGTGTGTGTGTATTACGTCCCCTGGATTCCTGGTAAAATCCTACCCCAGGATGCAACCCACAACAGTCAACAACTCTCCCAGACATTTCTTTCCTTTCTAGGCACCAGAGACGGCAAATACTATTTCTGACCACCCCCAGCTGGGAGCACCTTACACTACGAGACATTTAAAGAGAATGAGAGAGAGAGAGAGAGAGAGAGAGAGAGAGAGAGAGAGAGAGAGAGAGAGAGAGAGAGAGAGAGAGAGAGAGAGAGAGAGAGAGAGAGAGACTCTTCGAGAGATTATCCCAACGTAACCGTAATCAAATTTATAAAGACACCTTCCGGGTAATCCAAAATATAACGAGTCTAGTTACGTGGAATTTCAGTGACCATCAAGACAAGGGCTCCAAATTTCTCCTCTCCAGATGGACGCTCCACATAATCGTCGAGATAAATTATGCTGATTAAGCTTGATGGAAAGCATAATTACCTGCAGTTCCGCCAGTTATGCTGCCCCAACGTTAACAATCATGGGTAATTAATGTTAAAGGTGAACGGAATTACAAGAAGAGAGAGAGAGAGAGAGAGAGAGGAGAGAGAGGAGAGAGAGAGAAGAGATAGAGAGAGAGGAAAGAGAGAGAGAGGAGAGAGAGAAGAGAGAGAGAGAGAGAGAGGAGAGAAGAGGAAGAGAGAGAGAAGAGAGAGAGAGAGAGAGAGAAGAGGAGAGAGAAAAACAGAGACAGAGAAGGAGAAGAGAAGTTGAATAAAGATAGATTAACAGCTGGAAAGAAAACAGAGAGCACACAGGCAAACAACACATAGGCAGATGGTAGATAGCAAATAGGCAAACAGCAGACAGTAAACAGACAGCAAACAGACAGATGAAAAGCTAGAAAAAACAAGCAGAGAGCACACAGACAGACATCCGACGAACAGGAAGACAGCAAGAGAACCAACAGACAGTAAACAGGCAAACAGAAAACAAAAACACAGACAGCAGATAGTAGACAAATATCAAGCAGACAGTAAACATACGGTAGACAGCAAGCAGACAAATGAACAGGCAGAAAGAAGCCATCCAGACAGCAAACAGGAGAAGACAGACAGACAGCATACGAAGACAAAGCCTAAAAATAGCATGGAAGAAACGTTGATCTTTTCTTTGCATGTCTTCCGAAACCAGGAAGGGGAAGAGAAGCTCCAATTCCTCGGATCAAGAGCCTTTCACATCCTCAAGGCAACTCTTCAAAATCTTGCAAACATCGAAGAAAAAGATTTGTTTTTGATTATAAACAACAGTGTAATACAGTAAATACAACAGTGTAATATATAGCTGTACTTATCACTTCTGTATCCGCACTCCGGAGAGTACATTTATGTATCTCCTCTGCACTCCAGAGAGTACATTTATGTATCTCCTCTGCACTCCAGAGAGTACATTTATGTATCTCCTCTGCACTCCAGAGAGTACATTTATGTATCTCCTCTGCACTCCAGAGAGTACATTTATGTATCTTCCTCTGCACTCCAGAGAGTACATTTATGTATCTCCTCTGCACTCCAGAAAGTACATTTATGTATCTCCTCTGCACTCCAGAGAGTACATTTATGCATCTCCTCTTCACTCCAGAGAGTACATTTATGTATCTCCTCTTCACTCCAGAGAGTACATTTATGTATCTCCTCTGCACTCCAGAGAGTACATTTATGTATCTCCTCTGCACTCCAGAGAGTACATTTATGTATTCCTCTGCACTCCAGAGAGTACATTTATGTATCTCCTCTTCACTCCAGAGAGTACATTTATGTATCTCCTCTGCACTCCAGAGAGTACATTTATGTATCTCCTCTGCACTCCAGAGAGTACATTTATGTATCTCCTCTGCACTCCAGAGAGTACATTTATGTATCTCCTCTGCACTCCAGAGAGTACATTTATGTATCTCCTCTGCACTCCAGAGAGTACATTTATGATTCTCCTCTGCACTCCAGAGAGTACATTATGTATCTCCTCTGCACTCCAGAGAGTACATTTATGTATCTCCTCTTCACTCCAGAGAGTACATTTTGTATCTCCTCTGCACTCCAGAGAGTACATTTATGTATCTCCTCTGCACCCCAGAGAGTACATTTATGTATCTCCTCTGCACTCCAGAGAGTACATTTATGTATCTCCTCTGCACTCCAGAGAGTACATTTATGTATCTCCTCTGCACTCCAGAGAGTACATTTATGTATCGCCTCTGCAC